AGAAGGAGGACTGGCAGCCTGCACAACTGAGAGGTTTCTCTCTCTCCCTACATTCCTGCATCTCCTGCCCCCACAGCGGAGGTCTGAAGACTTGAGAGCCATTAAGGAACTGCCCAGAAAGGCTCACAGTGCTCAGAAAGTAAACAAAACCAGTGACTGGCACCACCAAGTTGTCAAAAAAAAAATAACAAGCCACACATACCTGATTACCAGGAGGAAACTGTCGAGGTCAGCCACTGTGCTGGAAGCCCCTAGATTGTGGGTGGAAAGAAACTTCAAGAACTTACTAGCCCAACTACATCAGGGGACAAAAAAAAAAAAAAAAAGAAAGCCAAACAAAACTGCAGACTCTGGGAAGACTACTTCAGCCAGTCATAAAGTACTCCTCAGGAGACCAGCCTAAAACCACAAGGACTAGCTAACTGGAAACTACCAGACATTGAGAGGCCATTCTCCCCTACCCACGGTGGTGTTTGTCATTTGCTTATTTGTGTATGTTTTTTTCGGTTCTTGTACTACTCAGCTGGTAGATTTCTGTGCCCTTCCTTCATTCTTACACTGGTTTCTATCTCCTCTTTCTCCTTCTTGTCCAGCATTATTATTTCTTCTGCCTCTTCTATGTCTGACAATTCCCCTTCATATTCCCTCCTCCCCCATTTATCCTTCACCATCTCCTATCAATTTCCTCCATATTACATTTCCATATCATCCTCCCCTCTCCCTTAACTTCCTACCTCCCTACTCCCTCTCAATTCCATTATTTTGCCCAGACATGCCTAGAAGAAGCAAGAAATTAAATGGAGAAAATCAGCCCACCCAGGCACTTCTTGCACGCACCTTCCAGAAACTAGGACTCAACATGTTACTGGAAGAAGCTGAATACCACAAGAGACCCCTGACTGTTACTGGCTAAGAGGACAGACACAATTCCACACAGTGGAGGCTGGAAAAACAGGAGATACTGAAACAAGGCATAGCTCAGGACATCCTCCACAACTGAAGTGTCTGGAAGTCCCTAGGCTATCGCAAGAAGAACATCCAGAAAGAATGCCAGCCAATAATAGAATACTGTTTGTCAATGAATAGAAAGTATTAGAAAATACACATCAGGGAAGAGAAACAAATACCCAAGCAAGTCCACAGGGGAATAATTCACCACAAAAAGATCAGTCACCAGAAATCACCAAAGACATAGAACTGCTCAGCCTACTGGATAGAGAATTCAAAATCATCATGATAAACAAACAAAAAGAAGATGAATGGCCCTCCCTGGTGGCCCAGCGGGGTAAAGCACAGCACTAAGAAGCTTAAGCCACTTCTGCATGAGTTCGATTCCAGCCTGCCCCAGAGGAGCTCCACATGGTGAGGCAGACCTCTCCTGACCCGCCCACAGCAGTGTATTTCGATCTGCCTGTTCTGCTCCAGCTCTGTCTCTGGGAATCCTCTCACCCTCTACATCTCTGGCCTGTACCCCAGATACAGGGGTAATAATAAATAAATCTTTAAAAAAAAGAAGACAAGAAGGCAAAATATTATATGAGGCGAGCTATCAAGGAATTGAAGGACAAGGAACTGAAAGAAGTGAAAAAGAAAAAAAATGATATGAGACAAGCTAACGAGGAAATGAATGAAAAAGCAATCAATGAATTGAAGAAAGAAAATGAGATCTTAAAAAAGGAAATAGAAGAAATGCAGGAGATTAAAAGCCATTAGAGGAGATAAAGAATGCTGGGGAAAGTAACAAAAACAGAATAGATGAAATGGAAGAATGAAACAGCAACCTCGAAGACACAGAAATAAAGAGAATCAAAACAGAAAAAGAAAGAGAAGGAAAAGGAAAAGGAATGAAGAAACACTTCAAGAGCTATCTGACACCATGAGGAAAGGAAATATCAGAATTACAGGAATCCCAGAAGGTGAAGAAAAAGGCCAAGGAATTGAGAAAATATTTACAGAGATAATAGAGAACTTCCCTAAAATGAAAAAAAAAAAAAAGTTGGCTTATGTGATGCCTAAGGAATTTTTTAGCTCCAAAATTCAGTAAAGCAGGCCAGTTTGAATTGTCAACAAAAGCAAATGTAGTTTTACTCACAGATAATTGACACATAACTTTGTGTACATAACATTGTGTTTGTTTAAGGTATAAAACATAGTGTTTTGGTATAGGTAGTAGTACATGCATATGTTTGTTTTTAAAGATGGCAACCCTAGATGTGTTTGAAACATTAGGAACAGGATGGAGATATTGAACAAGAGAAAAAATGTGGCAAGAAGAAAATAACAAGTTAAGCAAGACTCCATTTCAGTGTGAAAGGGCAGTGTTGGATGCTTCTTTTCACTTCTGATGTTTGAGTGGAGAGAGTGTAATTATTGTAACATCCCCAGGTTGCTTTACTTCTGCCCGAAGGGAGAAATAGTGACTTATTTTGGTTAATTTCGGAAGAAGAAACTCATTATGTCCTGTTGGTCTCAGCTTGTCCCTTTTGCTTTTGGGCAATGACCCTGACTATAGAAAGCTGTTCTCGTTTCTTTTCTATGCCTTAAGTCTTACATAGAGAAGGTACTTTGTCTTCTGGGAGTGTTTATCTGATTCAGCATAACCAGTGATACTGTGTCTAATTTTGAAATTTTTTTTCCAGGTATGCTTGTCTGCTACACTAAAGCTTATTCTCTAGGTTAGCTCCCATCAGTAACAGTGGTGATGTTTCAATCTCCCTCTGACTTATCCTCACCTTATTTTCTCAGTATGTTCAGAATTTGGATGGATGAGTGCTATTTCTTTGACTTTTTCAGTGGTCAGAGGAATTAGCTTTGGCTCAAAAACTCTTGGTACAATAGTTGAGAATAACTAAATGCTTGAGGTATGATAGTTTCCGAAATTCAAAATAATTTCAGTTAAGTAGAAGGGCAAATAACTGCTGAGAATTAGTCAGCAGGCATGGAGTTGGAAAGTTAAAAGAAGAAAATAATTAAAATTACCCTATGAGTAGCTTACTGAAGAATCCACTAAAGAGGACCACTGGATTATCTATTAGGACAATGAAGTGACATTAATAGGCTTGGATGAGTAGGGTTTGAAGGTAGGCCCATTCTCTGCCACCAGGGATGAAAGTGGTAAAAAGTGCTCTATAGAATTTGTTTTATTCTTAAATTTTGGTAATTGTCACAAGAATATAAAATTATCTCTCAAGGTTGGGCAATGAATGGTTGCTACTATATAGTTACAAATGCCACATTACTTTTCAAATATGATAGCTTAGAAAAACCCTAAATTTACCCTATTCAATGATTTTATTGAAGGTTATTATTACATGACAAGCTCAATTGCTCACATACAGAAAAGAAAATACCCAGACTAATTCCCTTTGCTCTTTGACATTTCTAGGACCAAAGGGTGTATTAGCTCATCCATAAAGTAATCTCAGACTCTTCTTTGCATCCCTGATTTTTCTCTATTCCTATTACATTTAAAGTCATACCAGTTGATGGGGGAAAGAGGAGAAAGGAAACATTTGCATTTGCACTTGCACTGCGTGTGGAGAGAATAGAATTTGCAGGTGGATCTGTGAAGTGGGTGCTCTGGAACTCAGCTTAAATCAAAAGTCACGGTGGAATAGTCCCAGTTATGTTTTAGGAGCAAGATGGTGATCTGGCCTTTCAGCTAGAAGTCAAGGACGCAAAGAGAGTGTTGTCTTCGTGATTTGGAAACAGCATAAAACTTGAATGTACAAGGTTCAGAAAACCAGACCCTTGTTTTTTTTTTTTTTTCTGGTGAGGTGAGATTTTTATGAGGAAGTAGACTAGGGAGAAATGGAAAATCAAAATTTCTTAGATTTGATTATGGAGTGAGTCTAAAAGAATGGGAAATGTGAGGCAAATAAAGTCAGAAGGGAAGTAAGGGGGAGTTAAATACAGTAAAATAGGGGCATTTAATTTTACCTGTAAAGTCAAACAAGTAATATTTGTTAGAAATACAGTTGTTGTTTTTTCTTTTCCCTTGAACATTTCTTTTTCATTTTTTGTAAGAGGATGATAATGATGATGATGATGATGATGATGAGAATAATAATGATAATAGTGGAATTGCATATACTGAAAGAAATTAGGTACAGGACATGGACTGAAATATTTTTTAATATTTTTTCTTTTAGTTGAATTGTTATAAAATAAGAATACATTTGCCTTTGAACGTTTATGAAGAATTTGTGCATTTTATTTTAACATCTGTTTCTTCACTTAATTTCTCTCCTTTCTTTTATAGGTATTTGCATACTTTTATTTTTTTCAAATGAGAGGACCTTTTTGTTTGCCACAAGAAAGCTATTATCCAGAATGTTAATGGACTTTCAGCTATTAAGATGTAATGATATACCTTGAGTATTTAACTATAAATTTGAAAAATCTCAGTGAATAATCTCAAAGGAATACTTAGAATGCACTCCTGGTAAATTGGCTCATTTTCCTGTAATTTACTGGAAGTGCTGATATGAGAGCAGTCCTAATGTGAAAAGTACATTAATCCCTGGAGTTACATTGTATGTATTAAATTATTACTCTCAAAGAATAAAATGTATGAGGCCATTTAGCCTTCATTCACATTTGTTACTTAGAATCACAGTAGAAAAACAATCACTTATCTTTTGATGCACAAAATTAGAAATGATGCATTTAATATCTTTTAAGAAAAGAGGCACAGTGATGCTCAGTTACACTTTTACATGACAATTGCTCTTTCCCTAAACAAGTACTGTTCTAGCTAGAGAGCAATTCTTTTGACTTTGTGGAGGCCCATTTCATTCTGCTGGTAATTGAAATATTTTTAGAAACCTTTAATGGAGCTTTCTTTGATGTCAGTCAAAAAGATTAGTCTGCCTTCTAGCCATGAACTTCTACCACCTTGGGGGATTATTTAAGGAGGTAGTCAACATGCAAGAGCAGTGGGTGCAAGGATATTTAGGATATTATCTGAAATTTTGTCTAATTGTGTTTTTCTTTGCCAGAGGACTGAAGTTATGGAACCATAAAGTGTGTTTTGGTCAGCAGCCATTTATGATTCTGGAAATTAAAGCAGAGAGGACACCTCAACTGAGCTCTTAAAAAACAAGCTATACCATGGATATAAAACTGGACTCTTCCCAAGATGACCTACCACTCATGGCCAATACCAGCCACATACTTGTGAAGCATTATGTACTGGACTTTGATGTGGATTTAGAAAGTCAAATCATTGAAGGCACCATAGTACTTTTTTTTGAGTCTGAAAATGGATTCAAGAAACCAAGTAGTTCCACCGAGGAAATCTGCCAGTCTAATAAAGCCTGCAAATTTAGGATGACTGAATCCTGCCAAATTCCTGTGACAAATACAAGGACTTTCCCATCTAAAATGGGATATAATGATTTTACAGTCTGTGGCAAAGGTGAAAGAGATACTTCTGATAATGGTGGTAACCATGACAACCAGGAACAGGCTTCTGGGATTTCTAGCTCAAAGTACTGCTGTGACACAGGGAATCATGGAAGTGAGGATTTTTTGCTAGTGTTAGACTGCTGTGATTTATCTGTGTTAAAGGTTGAGGAGGTAGATGTTGCTGCTGTGCCAGGTATTGAAAAATTTACAAGGTCTTCCAAGCTCAAGGCTGTTTCTGAGAAGCTTAGGAATCAGATCGTACACGAACTTGTGACTCTGCCTGCAGATCATTGGAGGGAGCAGTTAGACTATTATGCTCTCTGTAGTCAGGCGCCTGGCTGTGGGGAACTCTTGTTTGACACTGACACTTGGAGCTTACAGATCAGGAAGACAGGGGCTCAGACAGCTACTGACTTTCCTCACGCCATAAGGATATGGTACAGAACTAAACCCCAGGGGCGATCAGTTACATGGACCTCAGACCAGAGTGGCAGGTAGGTTTTCTGGGCACTCTGCTTCCCCCTGCTCACTGATCTTACATACTAGAAGATGAGCCTTTGTGGGACACTCTTAGGGGACCAGCTCTGCTAAGATTCTCCTTTTCATTTGTTGGGAATATCCGTATAGACCCATAGTATAACAGATAAATTCCCAGGAATGCTGAATTCTTAACAGGATTACTTCCCTTAAATTGGGATAATTTTTTTTAATGGAAAATATAATAATTTATGTTTACATCATTTTGTGCATTTTCCCATCTCAGTTGTAATCCTCTTGGGCTTCCCATCACCAAATTACTCATGTGCCATCACCATAGTCCAGTGCATTTCCCTCCCCCCACTGTTTTTGATCCCATTCCCCACTCCACCCCCATAAAATGTCTGATATATAGCTGTTCATTATTATTATTATTTTCTCGTCTGGTTTGTTATATTCCTACTATGAGTGAAACCATCTGGTATTTTTCCTTTTCTTTCTGGCTTATTGCACTAAGCATGATCTTTTCCAGCTCCACCCATGTTGCTGTAAAAGGCATGTATTTGTTATTTTTTGGTTGCTGAGTAATATTCCATCATATATAGGCACCACATCTAAAAAGATTATCTTAATAATCTCCTGTATTCCTATGTTAGGAGATTGAAAGGTAAGACTAGTTATTAAATTTCAAGCCTGCCTTTGTGCTCCTATATCTATTTGTGACTTCCAGTGCTGTGGATGGGAGCCATGTGTATCTCTGAGTGAAGACTTTTTCAGAGTTGCTTCATATTGATATTTCCCTGGAGAGAGTAGACAACCTGCCTAGTTGGCTTGGTGTAAAGCCTGGCAAAGTAATTCCAAATATAGCCAGCTCTACTTTGTAACTTTCTTACTTTACCTGTCTCCTGGCAGAGCCACTTCCCTGGACTTTGTCAGCTGTCATTTAATGTGAACCCCCTACCTTCCTCCATTCAACATACCAACACATTCACTGAACACTAGAAAGATTAGTTTTTGGTAAGTAGGATGATCAGTCTTGCTTAGATTGCATACTTTGCATCTTTGGTTGTGATCCTCTGTATTTGATACTAGGGAGACTCCTGATTTTTAGTGTGGGGAGAAGGAATTGACGAGACAGGGATTTTCCAGGGCTTGCAGTTTGGCAATCGTTTTTAATTTCTCATCCTCCAACAGTAGTTTGGGGTTTTAGAATTGAGTATTTTAAAATCAAATTTTATTGATTCCTTATTTTATTTTTACCTATTTCTTTGTGCTAATGTACTGTAAATCAATACAGTCATTATTACAGAGTATAGTTGTAAGAGCATAGATCTCTGTGAGCTTGTTTTGAGAGCCTTCATTTATAACATTGTAGTCCCTTAATGGAGGCAGTGGTCTCAGTAAATTACTTACACTCTTCTCTAACCCATCCCTCAAAAAACCTTTTCGATTTTTTTTAAAACACCACTTTCACTTTGAACTCTAATTATGAGATTCCTCTTCTCTAATCTTCACTCCTGCTCCAGTGTCTTGCCCTGCTCCGAATGAGTTCACTTCCTGTCTTATGTCTATGATAGGTTCTGAGGCAGCCCTTAGGAAATTGCAGACTTAGTGCATACTTACATCAGTCAAAAGCATCTTGATTTCTTTAAATCAAGAATGGGGACATTCTTGGGAGATTCTGAGGGAAAGAACAGGTTATCTTGTAACTTATCTGTGAAATTTTTTGCAATTAGTAAGAATGGGTTTTCAATAAGGTCTAACAATATACTATCTCTGAATATGTAACTAAAACATTATAGTTTTTATACTCTCTAACATTTCATTTTTGAGTTAATAATGGGGAATACTATACTCAATACAAGAAAAGAGATTTGTGAATTTCATTGTATGTCAAATATGAGTAGGAATGAGTTATATATAGATGCTGGTTTCTTTAAAGAAATTGAAGAGGCCCTTCGGCACATCTTGTTTCTACAAAGGTTGAATTTATCCTTGATGTCTCCTTTATGGCCATTAAATAAAATGCATGATCATAGTGGAATTTAAACTGTACTCTTGTAAGTTTGTAATTATGTGCTAGTAAATAAATGGCATCTATGCAGTTGTAAAACAGTAATAAATGTTTTAAATGTTTTGTTTTTTTTTAATTCTTGAAAGATGTTTTCTCTCTTATCTTTTTTGGGGGGAAATTTTATTACAGTCAAAATAATCTTACCTGAATGAACTATAGTCTCTCTAACCTCTCCCACAGTAAATCTAGGTATACACTGGTAACTTTGAATTTTTAATGACTTTAAAATGCCTAAAGATCCCTGGTTGTTAGTATGGAAATAATCCTTTAGTGATAGTAATCATCAGGGTTGCAGAGGCTTTATAAATATGATTGTATGAAAAAATAAAATTTCACATTTGTGTGAAAAATATAATTGGATGGAGCTTATTTCCTCTAAGGCATACATTCTACATTTATAAAACTAAAATAGTTGTTACATTTTATCCTTGAATTTCAGAATACTTTCAGCATATCTACCATATATTCTTAGTCCTAGAGGAGAAACTTTTTATTCCTATTTGATAAGCAGAAAAATAAAGTTACTAAATGCCCTTAAAAGCCTCCATGTCTCAATTGTGAAAGGAAACTATGTTTCTTATTTATGATCGTTACCATATTTTTAATGCATGCAAATGTTTTAATGTATTGAAAGATAAATGAATTACATTAATGTTCAAAATTTCTATTTTCAAACATAAGAAAAACCTTAAATTGTTACCTTTTCCTTTGACTTCCACCCATGGCTTTTCCTCTTTCCACCCTCACCATACTCCCTTTCAAGAGTATAATTTATTTTGGTTAATAATGTATAAATAAATAACCATTTGGGATGTCCCATCCTGGAATATAAAATATGAGAAAATAGCCAAGCTATATGAAAAATGCATGAAACAACCTCACTGAAGAGGGATAAGGGATAAAGTGATAGTCTAAGTAACTTTGGAAATGAGTAATCTGTAAGACTAAAGTTAAAGAACAATATACATAAGTAATGTTCTATAATTGACAACATTTTTCCCCATGGAAATAAAGATTAACAATTCTGGTACTATTGCATGCATGGTGAAATTGAATAATTATGTAAATGGATAAGATATGGATATGATAGTGGGAGCCATGTTTCTCACTACTGAAATTGGAAGTGACAGATAAGCAAGTGGAAAAGACTAGAGTGACCCATATGAAAATTAGAATTGAAGACATTACTATGAACCCCAGTTAGCTTAATTTTTTTTAAGCTTAAGAAATATTTTTTCCAGAAAATATTCCATAATCAATGTTTTATTTTTGAAACTTCCTTTTCATTTACGTAACTATGTAATTTGAGGAGCACAACTTCATACCTCCATGTTTATGCATGTGTTACTCACCTTCTATCAACTATCTAGTGTGACAGTCTGATCACATTTCTTTTCCTACCATCTTGTATATCCCCTTTAGTGTTTTTGTAATGCCAGTTTGTTTTCTTTGGCTGTTTGTATTCTGCAAATGAATGAAGCCATCCAATAACTGTCTTTTACTTTCTTATTTCATTTAGAATAATCATCTCAAGATCCATTCATTTTGTCCCAAAAAGCCCTACTTCATCTTTTTAAATAGCTGAGTAGTATTTCATTAAGTATATAGTCCACAATTTCTTTATTCAGTTTCCTGACTGTGGGTATTTAGATTGCAAGTTTCCATGACTGGACTTTTGTGAATAATACTACCGTGAAAATATGAGTACTTAAATATTTTCATATTGGTGTTTACAAACTCTTTGAGTAAATACTTAGAATTTGTATTGCTAGATTATAGTCTTTCCATTTTTATATTTTTGTGGAATCTTCATTCTATTTTCCATGGACTACGTGTCTACCAGCTATAATGGATGAGTGCTTCTTCTTCACATTTTTGCCAACATGTATTGTTTTCCAATAGTTTCATCTAGGCCATTCTCACAGTGGTGAGGTGATAACCTCATTGCAGTTTTGATATCCATTTCCCTTATAATAAATGATGTGGATTTTTTTTTTTTCATGTAGCTACATGTAGCTAACTTCTTTAGACAGGAGTTCCTTTAGGCCTTTTCTCATTATTTTTGATGGTGTCACTTGGATTTTTTTGTTACTGAGTTATTTTTTTCTTTATTTAGTTTGGAAATTAAACCCTGTTGGACATGTGATTTGTAAGTATCTTCTCCCCATCTAATGATTGGATTTTTTGTTTTTGTAGTACTTTCTTTTAGGTTTTAAAAGATTTTGTATTTGATATAGTTTCACTTGTTTGTTTTGTTTTTGTTTTCTTTCCCCCTGACTTGTATCCCTAAATATATCTCTCTGGTTGACACTTTAGGATTACATCTTCTATATTTGTTTTATGTATTTCATGATTTCAGGTCTTACAACCAAGTCTTTTCTCCATTTTTGAATTAATTTGTGTGTGTGGTTAAGTTATAATATTGCTTATTTCTTTTCTTTGTTTTTGTTTTGTGTGGATGTCCAAGTTTCTCAACATCATTTGGTATAGATTTCCTTTCTCCATTGTATATTTATGGCACCTTTGGTAAAGAAAAACAGTTCATATTTGTGTAGGTTTATCTCTGAATTTTCTGTTTCTTAACCTGTTCTGTATCTGTTTTTATTCCAGTACCATTCTGTTTTGGTTACTATTGCTGTGTAGTATAGTTTGAACTCAGAGAGCATGTTACCTCCATTTTTCTTTTTTTCCCCTCTGCATTGATTTGGCATCTGTGACCATTTGTGGGTCTATACAAATTTTATATATGTCTTTATATTTCCTTGAAAAATGCCTTTGGGATTTTGACAGATATTACATTGACTCTGTAAATTGCTTTCATTAATATGTCCATTTTACCAGTGTTTATTCTTAAAGAAAATTTTGATTACTTTTTGAATTTCCATGCTTATTGTCTTGGAAGGCTCTATAATATGTCCATTTCTTCTCAATCATCTATAGTTT